CATAGACCGAAGCTGATAGAGTTCAGGATCGTTGTTTGGAGCAATAGACATTTCCTCAAGATCTATTGGAGAGGACGAAAGTTGATGTATGTGAGCACGTGAAAGTGCATCAGCGACAACATTATTTGGACCGTCGAGGTAGCGAATATCGACACAGAATTGTGAGAGGTAATCCAGTGTCGTGTCTCTCTCGGAGAATAGCGGTCGGAAGCGGCACGAAAAGCGTAGACCAGCTAAGTTGGTCCGTCAGATTACAAAACGTCGTCCTCATGGAGTGACGAAATGTGTTGATCGGCCAAGTAGATCGCGAGAGTTCGCGACCGAAAAGTGCTATATCTCGGTTGTGCCGGCTGTAGCTTCCGAGGAAAGAAGGACGGCGGCTGAACCTCATTGCGGATTCGTTGTTGTAGTACAGCGCCGACAGCGCATTGTGAGGCAGTCATCTTGAGAACGAAGAGTAGTGTTTCTCGTCGGTGTCAATGGAGCTCAGGGAAATACCTGGCTCAACTTCTGCTTGGATGGCAACTAATACGCTTGGTGTCGGCGTCTGGCCTTCTTGATGAATTTAGCTCAAGGGAGGGGGGGTGCGCGAGCGGGGCCAGCCGCCGCCCCCGTTTGTTGTGTTGAGCGAGATACTCACAGACTCGTGGAGTAAATTCATATGAAAGCCAGAAAGCCGAAACAGCGTTTGTTGCCATACAAGCAAGATGTTTTGAGCCAGGGTAAACTTGTCCTTTGCTTACTTGGACACCGACGAGATAAGCTACTATCGTTTCCTCATTGATGTCGGTGTCGACAAGCTACTTGGCAGAGGGGGAAGGTGGACGGGGGGTCGTATTCTTAGTGGGGACCTTGGTGTGGCATTGCCCCCCACGGGCGGGAGGGGAGCGGTTGTTGACGTCTGAGGGGCATATTTCAGTCGTAGTGTGGTAGGGCGGGCTCGTATCAAGCGCACGTCGTGCTTATGGCCATTCATGAGCACCTTTCTCGGACGTGCCTTTGATGGACGTCACACGGTGGGGTTGGACGATTCGGTCTACATTAGCCTTTGGGCGTCGCGTGTCTGGCCGCTCTCCGTCCGCGCTATGTCTATGTGTGAGTACTCGTCTACCGGGTATGGTCGGAGCTCTTGGCGTGGGACCGTTATGTTCGAGATCGTTCTACGTACGGGGCCGTTATGATATGTTTTGTTCGCTGATGCACTGTCTTGTGACTCACATATCTTCAACTGGCGTCCTCTCCAATAGTTCTTGGAGGGGAATTAATGTCGGTTGACCCTAGAACATGGATCCTGTTCATCGCTCTGCGCCGCGTTGCACTATTGTCCCTTTTTGGTATTGATTGCTCCGTCATATATGTGTTAACTCGACGCATGGTTCCACTGCGATGTCTCAACGGTTTTAGCCAAGGGACCGGTTTGTTCCACAGTCTTTCCGGGCGAACCGTCCTTTGGACCATTTTCATGGATCTATCGCATACTAGCTTATGATCCACGGTGAATGGTGATTAATGATCGTTTCATCGGGCCTAGTATGCGCTTCGATATTTTTCGACAATGGGCTAAGCATTGTCTCAGCATGCCAGAGCTGCCATTATGTACACAGATCACACTATCTCTGACACCGGATATTATCACCTACATGAGGCGCGTTTTATGACTGGCCTCCTAGACTTTGAGTCGGATCCGCATTCATCCATCGATACATGGGCACGTGTGTGTTCGGGGGTTGACGTTTTTCTCGGCGGGCAGCTGGCCTTGCCGTGTCGGGTCTCTTGCTGCTGTAGCGGTGCCCGGGCATGGGTATGGGCGTCTCATGGATATGTTCCGTCTTCGGCCCGGTGACCTGCGTTCCGATCTACTACTGTCCCTGAGGTTCTTCATGTTGTTGCCTCCGGGGGCACGGGTACCAGGGTAGAGGCCGCGGGGGGGGGGGGGGTCAACCTCATGGAGGTGTCTCGGCTCGGCTTATTCTGCCCTCCTGCTATTGGGCCCTGGACACGTGCGTTGTCTGCGTACGGCGTGACGCCGCCATCTTCAGCTTATTCTACATGAACCCCACTAGTTGTACCGGATCGCCTTGCCAGCTAGCGGTCAGTAGTGGTTTTGGTTATTCCGGCATATAGAGGGTGTGGGGTGGCTGCCAGGTCGCCCGTTACAGGGCACGGGGGACACCATAGCTTGATCTTCCAGATTACGTGAGATTGAGTTTGGATTCCCGAGTCCATGGGGAGTTATGATCCTGTGCCCTACGCCCCGAACCGTCTCTTAAAAACAACACTTTCCGATCAATTCTCGACCTACGTCTACTCGCTTCACTGCCCGCGAGCAACGGAATTCATCCGGACTTACACACTTGTCCTTTTGTTTGCATCCCCAGTGATGCAGGTAGCTACGTCAGTTGTCACCCCCTTATGAAGGTCCTCTTCAAGACGGTGTTGTCACGGATAACCTAAGTCCTTCATACTGGAAAATGGATCGGGATTCGAATAATATCAGTGAGTTTTGACCCGTCGTATTTCCCGCTTATGTTGAGCCTGCCAGAGTCTTGGAATGATCGCATAGGTGGGGTTCCCCCTGGTGGCCGGTGTAAAACGAATCGTTTCCCTATGCCCTCCTGAATCCTGCACTTGCGCGCGCCCCCCCCTTCGACATGTTGTCCAATCTACTACACTCCGTCAGGACGGTCTGTTGGCGGCACACATCCCTATCTAGCTGGAGGGTGTGTCCGCCCCTCATAATTGCTACTTTTTCGACGCAGTGTCCCTGTCCATGGGCTCGCGCGTCCGGTGGGGAGTGATGGTGTGAGGGGTTCGGTTGGGGGATCCTGGGGGGGCAGCAGCCAGCAGGGGGGGTCTGTTAAATGGTGTTCTGGACAGCAGGGTGCCATACTTGTGGGGTTCGTGCGTTCTGTTGGTGGATCTAGTCTCGGCGTCGTGTGCGCGCACCCGCCGCTCACGTAGTGCTTATTTCTGGGTGGTGCGCGTGCGGTCGGACTGGTGCGTGACGCGTGTGCCACGTCTACTGGCTGCTGGCTTAAATCGGAGTTGTTGTATCTAGGGTTCTCTTACCTCATACTTTTCGACGTCACTTTCCATTGTGCATTTTGCGTGTGCCACAGGCTTATTGCCGTATCCTTCAAATCGAACTCATAGGTGGTGTAGACCGGTAGTTGTCTCCCTCTACTGTTGTGGCCTGTTACTTAGGGCGAAGGGTTGGGAAATACCTGCCGTGGTGGGGTGCGTCTCCCTCGTCCTTGTTGTGGAGTCCGCCAGCCCCACTTAACTGTCTGTGGGGTTTACATACCGGGTGGGGGAGGTCGGATGGGCTGTGACTTATTACCAACTGGGTGGGGCGGTACGGTACTTCTGGGAGGACGTTACGGACGACAGAGCCCGTACACTCTCGGGGTCTGGGACGTTTACTCACGGGGGCATTGGTGGGAGGTCTGGGTAGTAGTCGTGTTGCGTCTGGCCGATGTAGTCAATGATTCTACTTTCGCTTTCTGCCAATGTTATCCTGTCGGCCGGCGCCGCGCCCTCAGTCAGGTGCTCCTTTGGACCTCAGAAGTCATGCTATGGTATATCATTGTGAACCATTTGCATGTAGCATGCGCCACAACGGTGGTTATTAATTGATGCTGCGATCCGGTTTCGCACCATACTCGCGTCTGATGTGGGACTCTCGTCTGCAAACAGTGTACTTTCCGGGTCGTCGAGCTTGGCGTTCGCACCCTATTCTCAGGCGGCCTGAGGGACTCTTTGACGTCCCCTTGTTGGTTGCGGGGTCGATTCCTTCCGACGTACTCTAGGCTCGCCGACACTCATCTTTGGTCGCCGAAATTGTCTTCCGGGCAAACATACGGCGATTTTATCAGTTCCTCCATTAGCCGGACGTTCTGCTCTCGGGGAAATATAGCTGGCTGACAGCTGCGGACTTCACCCTTTTACAGCACGTTTGGGGGGGGTGGTTAAGCTTTTCGCGTTATTCTACGTCGTTGCTGAGTCCACCACAGCCAGCTCTTCGCATAGCAGTATACGCCTTGATGTCGATCAAACGAAGTTTAGACCTGATCCCGTCTAGAACTCTGGCATGTCCTGGCTATTCGGTCCGTGAACGCAAGTTACCAACCGAAGGAAATTCCTCGTGGTCTCGCGCCACTCAGCGCATCACGCTCACGTCAGCGGTCGTCACTGCTCAACTCTCCACCGTCGCGTCGGCTAGTGCATAAATCAACGTTACTGATGCGTCCGGGATTACAATTATCCGAACTAAGGGGAATTTCCGAGTTTCATCAACCGGGAAGGGGGATAACGCCCCCTTATGGGACCATTCAGTTATGAGCGGTCGGCTGTTCGCTGGCCATCCATTATACCTTTGCCTCAGGGTGCGCCTTCATGTACGTGTTTCGGACATTCCAACGACCCCCCCTATACTTTCAGTTTTTTGGTCGATACGGGTTTGGTTGAAATATCAGCCTTATAACCACCTATCGTTGGAAATAACAAAAAAAAGAAAAAACGTTCCTCTGCAACAAGCCGACTCTTGCGTTACCAGACAGGGCGGCTTACCTGACTTTAGGATCGCGGACATATCGGCCCAGAAGCTGTGACACCTAAGCCTGGTTTTCGACGGCGAGTTTCCTTTGATTCTTTTACCATCGCAGCTTGTCCATGGGAAACCCAATAATTGGCAGCGACATTCACGTAGCTCCTTGTAGGCCAATTCGGCGGCGCGTCGTACCGAACGGGCTGGACTGTGTCGGGTCGTAAGTTAGTCGGAGACGGGACCCGGACTTCGCTCACTACCCTTGCCAGCTCGCCCTAGGTCACGGCCGTCGTCTTTACGCCCCGTTCTTTCCCCCATTGCCTGATACTAACGCCTTATTCCCATGATTTTGCCTTCAGCAATTCCCAAAATCTAAAAACAAAAAAACAAAAAAAAAAAAACACACAACACAAAAACACAAACAAACCAAAAAAAAAAACAAAAAACCAACAACACAACAACAACAAAACCCCCCCCCCCCCCCCCCCCCCCCCCCCCCCCCCCCCCCCCCCCCCCCCCCCCCCCCCCCCCCCCCCCCCCCCCCCCCCCCCCCCCCCCCCCCCTCCCCCCCCCCCCCCCCCCCCCCCCCCCCCCCCCCCCCCCCCCCCCCCCCCCCCCCCCCCCCCCCCCCCCCCCCCCCCCCCCCCCCCCCCCCCCCCCCCCCCCCCCCCCCCCCCCCCCCCCCCCCCCCCCCCCCCCCCCCCCGCCCCCCCCCCCACTTTGGTCCGCTCTAATACCGACTCTACCGAGCCTAAACACGACGTTCGTTATCATATTGTCACCACAGGTGCACCCGTGTCAGCCAAACCGAGACGTCTTCCACTTGACAAGCTCCAAACGGCTAAACGTGAATTCGAGCACATGATAAACCACCGCATCATTCACCCGTCCAACAGTTGTTGGGCTTCCCCGCTTCATCTTGTACCCAAAATGTCCGGTGATTGGGGCATGCGGTGATTACCTGGCACTCAACGTCGTTACCATACTCGATAGATACCCTATTCCTCATATTCATGATTTTTCATTGGGATTGTCCGGGAAATCCGTCTTTTCTAAGGTTGACCTAGTGCGAGCGTACCATCAAATTCCAATGGCGCCTGAAGACATTGCTAAAACGGCTGTTAACATACCTTTTGGTTTGTACGAGTTCATTCGTATGTCTTTTGGCCTTCGCAATGCGGCACAGTCCTTTCAGCACTTCATGGACCAGGTCATCTGTGGTCTAGACTTTGTTTTTGTCTACATCGAAGACGTTCTCATAGCCAGTACCACGCCAGAAGAGCACTTTGATCACCTTCGACAAGTGTTCGAACGCTTCGATCATTACGGCATAACCATTAATCCTGATAAATGTCTATTTGGTCAATCTTCCGTCGATTTTCTTGGTCACAAAATTGATAACAAAGGCATTAATCCCATCCCTGAGAAAACCAAGGCAATCATGGACTACCCACTGCCCCAATCCGTTAAAAACCTACGGCGATTCCTTGACATGGTTAATTATTACGGAAGATTCATTGACAATTGTGCTGCCGTTCTTCAGCCTTTGACTGAGTTAGTTAAAGGTAATCCAAAGAAATTCATCATGAAGCCAGAAGCCGAAACAGCGTTTGTTGCCATCAAGCAGAAGTTGAGCCAGGTAACTTTCCTTAGCTACTTGGACACCGACGAGAAAGCTACTCTCGTTCTCAAGACTGATGCCTCACAATTCGCTGTCGGTGCTGTACTACAACAACTAATTGGCAATGAGATTCAGCCGCCGTCTTTCTTTTCTCGGAAGCTACAGCTGTCACAAACGAGATATAGTACTTTCGGTCACGAACCTCGCGATCTACATGGCCATCAAGCACTTTCGTCACGTCCTTGAAGGACGACGTTTTGTAATTCTAACGGACACAAGCCTTTGGTCTACGCTTTTCATGCCGCTTCCGACCGCTATTCTCTGAGAGAGACACGACACCTGGATTACCTCTCACAATTCTATGTCGATATTCGATATCTCGACGGTCTAAATAATGTTGTCGCTGATGCACTTTCACGTGCTCACATACATCAACTGTCGTCCTCTCCAATAGATCTTGAGGAAATGTCTGTTGCCCAGAACAATGATCCTGTACTCGCTCAGCTTCGATCAAATACCACAATGAAATTCTTGCAACTACCAATTTTAAACTCAGACGCAAGGATTCACTGCGATGTCTCAACCGGTAAGCCAAGACCGTTTGTTCCACAGTCTTTCCGGCGAACCGTCTTTGACCATTTTCATGGACTATCGCATCCTAGCATATGATCCACGGTGAAGTTGATTACTGATCGTTTCATCTGGCCTAGTATGCGCTTCGATATTCGTCAATGGGCTAAGCATTGTCTCAGCTGCCAGAGCAGCAAAGTACACAGACACACTATCTCTGCCCCCGGAACATTCTCACTACCTGAGGCGCGTTTAAGACATGTCCACCTAGACATAGTCGGACCGCTTCCTCCATCGAACAATTTCACTTTCATTCTAACTTGTGTTGACCGTTTTACTCGTTGGCAGCATGCCATTCCTTTACGTGACACATCTTCAGAATCTGTTGCCCGTGCATATTTCGACTCATGGATTTCCTTCTTCGGTGTGCCATCTACGATCACTACAGACCGAGGATCTCAGTTTAGTTCCACCTTGTTCCGTGACTTGAATCGTCTGTTGGGTTGTACCCACATTCGGACGACTGCTTATCATCCCTCCTCAAATGGCCTTGTCGAGCGTTTTCATCGACGGCGTATAGCCGCCATCACAGCTAATTCACCTGACCCACATTGGTCTGAACGCATGCCAGCTGTCCTTCTTGGTATTTGTTATACCGTCAAAGAGGATATTGGATGCAGCCCTGCCGAACCCGTCTTTGGCACCACTCTCAGACTTCCAGGTGAGATGAGTTTGGATTCCCGAGTCACTGGTGAGATAGATCCTGTGCCCTACGCCGAACGTCTTAAACAACACTTCCGAACAATTCGACCTACGTCTACTCGCTTCACTGCCCGCGAGCAACGAATTCATCCGGACTTACACACTTGTCCTTTTGTTTGCATTCCCATTGATGCAGTTCGCAAGTCGTTGACACCCCCTTATGAAGGTCCTTTCAAGGTGTTGTCACGGAAACCTAAGTCCTTCATACTGGAAAGGAACGGATCGAAAAAATCTGTGAGTATTGACCGTCTTAAACCCGCTTATGTTGAGCCTGCCGCTACTTTGACTGATCTCAAGTTGTTACCCCCTGTTGGTAAACCGACTGTTTCCAATGCTCCAGAACCTTCATGCGCTCGCCCAACGAATGATTCCAAACACACACGTTCAGGACGTTCTGTGTCTTCCCCCTCCAAACTAGCTGGGTTTGTCCCCCAAATAGCTATATCGAGCGTTACCTTACCAGTTCACGCTCTACGGGGGGAGTTATGTAGTGGTTAATAATGTTTCACATTTTGTCTTTTTTGTCATAAATTTTATCATGACATCGTTTGCACAGTTTGTTTGAATTAATGATTACAATACACTTCTTCGTGCCCCGCGCTCCGTCGTGCTAATTTCTGGTTGTGCTGCTTCTGCGTGCGTACGGTGCCGTCCAGTCTGCTTGCAAATCGGATAGTATATTCGGAATTACTATCAAACGTCTATTTCCATTGTGCATTGCGTGTGCCTCAGGAATAGCGCAACCTACGACTCGAACTCAACTGTGATTAGACTGTGAGTTGACTCTCTCCAACCTTTTGCCTTTTACTAAGGGGAGGAAACCTTCCTAGTATTTTTCGACCACTACATAAATTGGAGACCTCGCCTTACTTTTTTGAACACGTATTTTGCTTAGTCATGTCTGATCACACCCCATGTATTTTTACGGACAATTCCGTCGAACTCTCGCTCCCTACCTTTGACATTTCTAATCCACGTGTATGGTTTATTCAGGTAGAAGCTACTTTCCGATGTCGTAAGATCACTTCACAATCTTCCATGTTCTCCTACGTCGTCTCGCGCTTACCTGTCTCCATTGCCTCAGAAGTCATTGATATCCTTGACCCTATGCCTGTAGAAGCGCCGTATGATAAACATAAGCAGCTATCCTTAAACGCACCACTGCGTCTGATGAGACTCGTCTGCAACAGTTACTTTCCGGCGTCGAGCTTGGCGATCGCACCCTATCTCAGCTTCTTAGACACATGCGTCCCCTTGTTGGTTCGTCGAAACTCGACGACTTTATGCTCCACCAACTTTGGACGAAATGTCTTCCGGCAAACATACGGCGATTTTATCAGTTCTTAGCGACGATATCACTCTGGAAAAGCTGGCAGAAGCTGCGGACAAAACGCACGAATGTTTGTTTAAGAATACTCTTAATCACGTAGCTGAGTCCACCACAGCCAGCTCATCGCATAGCAGTACGCTTGATTCGATCAACGATAGAATATCCCGTCTAGAACTCGGCATGTCTGCTATTCGACGTGAACGCAGTACCAACCGAAGAAATCCTCGTGGTCCGCGCCACAGCGCATCACGCTCACGTCAGCGGTCGTACTGCTACTTCCACCGTCGCTTCGGTAGAGCATCACGTAACTGTCGTCCGGGATACAATTATCCGAAAGGAATTCCGAGTTCACAACCGGGAAACGCCAAGGCCATTCAGTAATAGCGACGGCTGTCGCTGGCCAAATCCTCAGTCGCCTTCTGTACGTGTTCGACTCCACGACTAAACTTCAGTTTTTGGTCGATACGGGTGTAGAAATCAGCCTTATACCACGTTCGTTGGAAAAACGTCCTCTGCAACAAGCCGGACTTGCGTTACAGGCGGCTAACCAGACTAAGATCGCGACATACGGCCAGAAGCTGTTACACCTAAGCCTTGGTTTACGACGCGAGTTTCCTTTTATCTTTACCATCGCAGATGTCCAGAAACCCATAATTGGCATCGACTTCCTTAGCAAATTCGGCCTCGTCGTCGACCTACGTTGCAGGAAGTTACGGGACGACCGCACTTCGCTCACTGTCCCTTGCCATCTCGCCCTAGTCACTTCCGTCGGACTTCGCGTACTCATGCCAGATACTACGCCTTATTCATGATTGCTTCAGCAATTCCCGTCTTTGGTCCGCTCTAATACCGACTCTACCGAGCCTAAACACGACGTTCGTTATCATATTGTCACCACAGGTGCACCCGTGTCAGCCAAACCGAGACGTCTTCCACTTGACAAGCTCCAAACGGCTAAACGTGAATTCGAGCACATGATAAACCACCGCATCATTCACCCGTCCAACAGTTGTTGGGCTTCCCCGCTTCATCTTGTACCCAAAATGTCCGGTGATTGGGGCATGCGGTGATTACCTGGCACTCAACGTCGTTACCATACTCGATAGATACCCTATTCCTCATATTCATGATTTTTCATTGGGATTGTCCGGGAAATCCGTCTTTTCTAAGGTTGACCTAGTGCGAGCGTACCATCAAATTCCAATGGCGCCTGAAGACATTGCTAAAACGGCTGTTAACATACCTTTTGGTTTGTACGAGTTCATTCGTATGTCTTTTGGCCTTCGCAATGCGGCACAGTCCTTTCAGCACTTCATGGACCAGGTCATCTGTGGTCTAGACTTTGTTTTTGTCTACATCGAAGACGTTCTCATAGCCAGTACCACGCCAGAAGAGCACTTTGATCACCTTCGACAAGTGTTCGAACGCTTCGATCATTACGGCATAACCATTAATCCTGATAAATGTCTATTTGGTCAATCTTCCGTCGAT